TCTTAATAGTGATAATAATAATTGTGTGTGTGTATTATGTTTATTATAGTGCCATACATAATATAAGCATCTATTATTTTAAATACCAGGTCAGAAATAAATATTGTGATCATATAACCACATATGTAGTGTGAAATTGGAAGAGTTTATATAATTGGCAGGAATTTTAAAATTTATATCAAAATTCATACATTGATGACATAGATGTTAAAATTCTATCTGAAGGTTTTAGACTTCCCCAAACCTGTATGAAGACCAAATAGATTTTTATTTTCAAGTGACATTTTGTAACAAAGATTTTAATTAAAATCTGGCCATTTGTCATTATATTGGGGATACAGTTTGCTGCTTACGAATATTTAAGTACATGCAATTAGATAATTGAATTGTCAATACGTTTCCTTAGGAAAACTGTATCATGACTTCAGGTTTTCCATTAAAAAAATTTTTTTAATACATAAAATTGGTAGTATACAGAAACTAGCCAGGCATAGTGGTGCGTGCCTATAATCCCAGATACTTCAGGAGGCTGAGGTGGCAGCCTCAGCTTGACCCAAGGAGGTCAAGGGGTCAAGATGGCTTGACCCCAGGAGGTGGAGGTTGCAGTGAGCCAAGATGGTGGCACTGCATTAAAGCCTGGGCAATGGAGCAAGACCCTATCTAAAAAAAAAAAAATGATGGTAAAATGCACTATTTTGGTTACAGTTCTATGAGTTCTAACAAATGCACAGAAACATGTAACTACCACTGCATTCAAGATACAGAACAGCTAAAAAAATACATATATTTTCTTATAGCTATTCTGTTTGTAGTCAAGCCCTTCCCCAAGTTTTAACTCCTGGCAGTCACTGATCTGTTCTCCATCTCTGTAGTTTATGTTTTTCCAGATGTCATATAAATGGAATCATGCAATATATAGTTTTTTGAGTATGATTTCTTTCACTGAGCATAATGCATTTGAGATTCAGGCCTGGTGTTTTATGTATCAATAATTAGCTCTCTTTCATTGCTGAGTAGTATTCCATTGTGTGGATATACTATCGTTACTTTATCTATTCCCTAGTTGAGGAACATTTTGTTTGCGTACAATTGGGGGCAAATATGACTATAGCTGTCATCCTAAACATTTGTATAAAGGTTATTATGTAAATGTAGGTTTTCATTTCGCTTGGGTAAATACTTACGAGTAAGGACCCTTTATTTTCTCTTATCTGAGATATTTTGCATTGATTCTGAAAGATATTTTTGTTGTCCAGGCAGATCTTGGAGATATTTGGGGCTTGGTTCCAGATCACCGCAATAAAGGGAGTATCACAATAAGTGAGCCATATGCAGTTTTTGGTTTCCCAATGTATAGAAAAGTTTATTTATAATATATAGTTGTCTAGTGAGTATGCAATAGCATTATATCTAAATAAACAATGTATATACCTTAATTTAGAAATACCTGATTGCTAAAAAAATGTGAGAAATCATCTGAGCCGTCAGCAAGTTGTAATCTTCTTGCTGGTGGATTATCTTGCCTCGGTGTTGATGCCTCCTACCTGATCAGGCTGATAGTTGCTGAAGGTTGGGCTGGTTGTGGCACTTTTTAAAAATAAGACAACACTGAAGTTTGCTGCATTGATAGACTCTTTCTTGCGTGTAAGATTTCTTCATAGCCTGGGTGCAGTAGCTCATATCTGTAACCTCAGCAGTTTGGGAGGCCAAGGTGAATGGATCACCTGAGGTCAGGAGTTTGAGACCAGCCTGACCAACGTGGTGAAACCCTGTCTTTTCTAAAAATACAAAAATTATCTAGGCATGGTGGTACATCCCTGATATCCCAGATACTTGGGAGGCTGAGGCAGGAGAATTGCTTGAACCTGCGAGACAGAGGTTGCAATGGACCGAGATCGCCCCATTGCACTCCAGCTGGGGCAACAAGAGCAAAACTCCATCTCCTAAAAAAAAAATTTGTTTGTAGTATTTGATGCCATTTGATAGCATTTACCATAGTGCAACTTCTTTCGAAATTGCAGTGAGTCATCTCAAAACATGTCACTGCTTTAGCGATTTAGTTCATTTAGTCTAAATCCTTTGTTGTCATTTTTTGACAGTGTTCACAGCATCTTCATCAGGCATAGTTTCCATTGCAATAAACCACTTTCTTTGGTAATCCATAAGAAGCAACTTCTTATCCATTCAAGTTTTATCATGAGATTACAGCAATTCAGTCACATCTTCAGGCTCCATTTTTAATTCTAGCTTTCTTGGTATTTCTAACACATCTGCAGTTAACTTCCTCCACTGACATTTTGAACCCCTCGAAGTCATCCATAAGGGTTGCAATTGGCTTCTTCCAAACTCTTGTTAATATTGATAAGTTGACCTCCTTCCATGAATCATGAATGTTCTTAATGGCTTCTAAAATGGTGAATCTTTTCCGAAAGGTTTTCAATTTACTTTGCCCAAATCCTTCAGCAGAATCACTAGCTACGGCAGTTGTAGCCTTGTAGCATTTCCTTATGGCAGCTGTAGCCTTACAGTATTTCTTAATAGGATTTCAAAGTCGAAGTTACTCCTTCATCTATGGGTAGCAGCATGAATGTTGTGTTAGCAGGCATGAAAACAACATCATCCTTCTTGTACATCTCTATCAGAGCTCTTGGGCAATTAGGTGCAGTCTCAATGAGCAGTAATATTTTGAAAGGAATCTTTTTTTTCTAAGCAGTAGGTCTCAACAATGTTCTTAAAATAATCTTTAAATCATCCATGAACAAATGTGCAGTCATCCAGGCTTTGTTCTTCCATTTATAAAACACAGATAGGGTAGACTTAACATAATTTTTGAGGGCCCTGGAATTTTCAGAATGGCAAATCATTACAGAATATGGCAGGGACATGCAAATCAGGACAGAAGACAGGGAAATAGGAAGGAACATGAAACAGGGACAAAGAATGAAGTTTATAGAACATCTTAGACATTGTGCTCATCAGGATTTTTAATCAAAATTAAAATTTAAAGTCATCAGCTGTATTCTCCCCTATCAAAAGGATCAGTGTGTCTTAAGCCTTGAAGCCAGACATTGATTGACTTCTCTCTAGCTATGAAAGTCCTAGATGGCATTTTCTTTCATTAAAAGACCGTTTCATCTACACTGAAAATCTTCATCAATCATCTTAGCTTGATTTTCTGAATAACTTGCTGCAGCTTCCCTATCAGCACTTGCTGCTTTACCTTGCACTTTCTTGTTATGGAGACAGCTTTTCTTAAACCTCAAATTTAAACCTTAAATCTCTGCTAGCTTTAGTCTTTTCCTCTGCAGCTTCCTCACCTCTCTCAGCCTTCATAGAATTGAAGAGAGTTGGAGCCTTGTTCTGAATTAGGCTTTGGCTTAACAAAATGTTGTGGCTGCTTTGATCTTCTATCCAGACTATTCAAACTTTCTCCATAACAGCAATAAGGTTGTTTCACTTTCTTATCATTTGTGTATTCACTGGGGTAGCACTTTTAATTTTAAAGAACTTGCCTTTGCATTCACAACTTGGCTGTTTGATGCAAAAAGCCTAGCTTTTGACCTGCCTGGGGTTTTGACATGCCTTCCTCACTAAGTTTAATCGTTTCTAGCTTTTGATGTAGAGTAAGAAATGTGCAACCATTTCTTTCACCTGAATACTTAGACGTTGTCATAGGATTATTACTCGGCCTAATTTCAATATTGTTGTTCAGTATCCCTCCAGTGAACAGGGAGGGACCAAGGAGAGTAAGCAAGACTGAGAATGACCAGTCAGTCCATGGAACAATCAGAATAGACACAACATTTATCAATTAAGTTTTCCATCTTACATGGGCAGAGTTTGTAGTGCTCCAAAACAATTATAATAGTAGCATCAAAGATCACTGATTATTGATCACCATAGCAGATATAATAATAACAAACATTTTTGGAAATATTAGGAGAATTACCAACATGTGACATGAAGACAGGAAGTGAACATGTGCTGTTGGAAAAATGGTGCTAATAGACTTGCTCATGCAAGTTTGCTACAAATCTTCAAATTGTTAAAAAAAATACATTATCTTTGAACTGCAGTAAAACAAAGAACAATAAAATGAGATATGCCTGTATATAGAATTCTGAGTTGACTGTTCTTTTCTTTCCACAGTTTAATAATATCTTACTTTAATATGGCCCCTATGGCTTTGCAGCCTTACTAGTTCTTCAAGTTTTGACTTTTCTCACCAATCCTTCATCTATGCTATTTTGTCCAGAGGTCGTTGCTTTTTGTATTTTGTTCAGAGTTTCTAGTTATAGTCGAGAATAATAGGCTGGCTAAAGATTCCATCCATCTTGGCGTGTAGCAAAAGTTCCAGTTTTATATTTACTATTGGAAAAAAAATAGTTTGTAAAGAAAACATGGCTTCATGACCAAAATAACCAGTGCTTTTTTCTTTTTCCCAGAGCACACTAATGACTGTGAACTCACAGATGAAGTATTCTTTAACAAGATGCTGTTAAGCAACCTTTTAGGTGTAGCACCTGGACCTCTCTTCTCAGCTTGCATGCAGCATACAAATAATCTGTCCTCATCTATGAAATAATAATGTATAACTGCAGCAGTATTACTGTAAAGTGCAATGAAGATTTAGGGGAAGAAAGAAGTAAATTATTGTTTGTTCGTCTGTTCTTTTCTTGAGATCTAGTCTTACTCTGTCACTCACACTGTTAGTACAGTGGCATGATCTTGGCTTTCTGCAACCTCTGCCTCCCGGGTTGAAGTGATTCTCCTGCCTCAGCCCCCTGAGTAGCTAAGATTACAGGCATGCACCACTACACCTGGTTAATTTTTGTATTTTTTAGTAGAGACAAGGTTTCACTGTGTTGGCCAGGCTCATCTTGAATCCCGACCTCAGGTGATCCACTCACCTCAACCTTTAAAGTGCTGGAATTATAGGCCCGAGCCACCACAGCCATCCAGAAGTGCAAGCTGGGAAATTAGAGGTACCTTTTTACTTCTATGATTACTAATATTTCTGAGATTTTTATAGCATTTTCCACTATGGCTTTAGAAACCATGCAAGTAATTTTAAATAAAATTTTTATATATACAAAACTAGTGATGAGAAGGAATATGGCAGGGACATACAAACCAGGACAGGAAATAGGGAAATAGGATGGGACATGAAACAGGGACAAAGGACAAAGTTTATAGCACATCTTAGACATTGTGCCCATCAAGATTGTTAATCAAAATTAAAAATAATATCTATAGAGCTTGCCCTGTCCTTCAGGTGTCAAACTATTATAGCTAGCAGTTACAGGATTGTTATGACACCAGTTCTGTCTTTTGATGATTGATGATACCTGCCAATAGCCTCACTGTTTGTACAGCACTGTGAGTATAGGAAGATTTGAGTGGGGAAGGGATATAAACCAAGGATTTAAGTAGCCGCCAGCTAGCTGATTGACTAACTCAGACTAGAGATAACAATTGGCCCACGCAGTTAGAAGACTGGTGAGCCTTTGTAGCCTATTTGGTCACCACATTTTTGCATGGAATGATTTGGTAGCATACATATTATTTTATAATTATGGGGGCGTTTTTGTTTTTTTTTTTTTTTTTTTTTTTTTTTTTTTTACTTCTTTGTATGATATGTCTGAAGTTTAGATACGAACCATAACTGTTCTTCAAAGCACTTTTCTTTTGATCTCCAACATAATGGAAGGTAGAGAAAAGAGTCTGGAGAATTAATGACTGATGCATTTGACCTTTCTTTCCTTCCTTTTTCCTTTCTCTCTCTCTCTCTCTCTCTCTCTCTCTGTCTCCTCTGTTCTGAGCACACCTGTCTGTCTGCCTGTGAAGATTTACTTTGTTTTGAGAAGCTGAATTGTGCAATTGATGCCACACCTTATATACATACTCACTTTCCATGCTAGATTTGTTTCCTCAGTCTCTGCAAGTGATTTGACAGAGGGTTATTGGATGGGAAAGGCAAGGAATTTCAGCAGCTCCATAGTTTGTTTCTTTCAGGGTAGCTTATCTTGCCAAACTAAGTGCATAATAGGGAGAAGGGGAGGAAGGATGGGAAAGAGAAAAGGTACGGTGTCTCTGCTGCTCTTTCAGCACCTAGAAATTCTTGCAGTGAAAATGCTCCCATAAGTTCTACCGACATTCCTTCCCCACTTTATCCTCCTTTCCCCTCTTATTCTTTTCTTTTCTCATCTTTTCTCAAGTCTGATGCCATTGTGGTTGGAATCTGGGGGATGGAGGAAAAACCTCAATATCTCTCCACCATTCCCTTACTTTTTCTTCCCACCTGCATTCTTGGCTAGTCTGCAAAAACCTCATAATGGTTTTTGTCTCAGTTTAGCCTACAAAAATATGCTATTAGCTCCTTCTAACATGTTCTTTAGATTCTCACATAATTGATGGCAGACAGTTTGAAGGTCCAACAGAAATGTGGTATTCGTGATCCAAAGCATGGCATAGTTCACTAGTTTGAGATAATTTCCTTTGGAAAGGTCTCATGTCTTTGAAAAACAAAAAAGGCTATTTTCATCTTTAGGTTTAATTTAGCTTATTAATTTTTGTGGATGTGTTCTTAACTCTCTGGTTCGGAGGTTCATTGGGGATTAAATATACAAATGAGTTAGAGCTAAGGGCTTAAACAACGGTTCAAAACAGTGGATTCTCAACATTTTTTTATGTTTATAATTCAAATTAAGAGTAGATTTTATACTAGCGTACTTGAAGGGATTCAAAGACACTTAACAAGATTAAGAAATTTTTACACTGGCTAAATCATAATTATAACACAATCATTTTTACAGTTATAACAATGTCTTGCGATGTTCATAACAGCATCATTGTTCATTTCATCCTCCTTCAGCCCCGTGTTATTCACCAGTTGTGTGCTTCCCTGGTGGCAGTATTTTCTGTACCTATAAAACAGTTCTTGCATATTTCTCTAAGCATATAATTTTTATTACAAGCTTGTCAATATACCATATTATCTGCCTCTTACCTCCTACCACAAACAAGTCATATCTCTTCCACACTGTATCTCAAGATGTGTTCATCTTAATTTTCTATCTAACACTGTCACCATACTCACTAGCAGCAAAGCTATATTTCAGTCGGGAAACTTTCTCCCTGTAGAGGACCAGATAGAAAATATTTTTGACTTTGCAGACAATATGGTATCTGTTACAACTATTCATCTCCACTATTATAGTGCAGAAATGGCCATAAAAATATAGATGAACAGCATGACTATGCCCCAATAAAACTTTATTAACAAAACAGGTACCAGATTGGATTTGGCCCACCAGCTGTAGTTCGCTGGTCTCTATTGTATTTCCTAAGCTGATGAAAACAAAGCATGCTCCTAGGTTTAAGAACTGGATTGAAGGATTACTGTAAGTCACTATACATCAGTGCTTATAGTGACTGTTATTAATTTTGGGGAATTCTACATCTGATTTAAAGGGATCACTAAGAGCCTATTCTTAACTAATCTGTCTAGCTCTCGTTACTATCCTCCCATAGTTGTAAGTAGTGGTATATAATTCATCTTCACAGGTGAGAGGAAAAGAGTGAGGAAATTGATTTCTAATTCTCATCTGTAGTCTGGCATGAGCTCACTTTCTCTTTTTACCAACACCATTATGTGCATAATAAATTATTTCTTAGTAAAATATAGAGACATGATTATGATTTCCATTCTGTAAAGAATTTAACAATGATCATGATTTTTCCCATTTCTGCCTCCTAACAAGTACTTGGTTCTTTTGGCATTACTATGTACTTTGTTTAAATATTAGACAGGAAAAGTTTGTGTATACTTTAGCACTTTGGCAATCCAGCCTTCTTGGCTATTGTAAACTTCTGTAGATGTTTTATTACTGTTTCACATTATATGGAATGAATGTGTTTCTTCGTTCCAAGTTTTTCCTGTCTGCCCTGTTCTTGTTCTTGGTATTAGTTCAAGTGTTAAATCTTAAGAGCCAATAATAACAAACATCCTTGCCTGCCCCTCCCTGGTAGAGAAGGTAGGGTGCTGTAGTGTGCAGGTTTTCTGCTTATGCTGAGAGTTAGGACAGGGTACTTAGGTGGCTTAAATGACTGGAAATGAACAGTAAAGTCCTCTATCCTGCAAATTTCCAGTTGAGGTTTTATATGTAATACAGTATTTCATAATTCACATGAAAAGAACCATTTTGATTCCAATCCCAGTTAATCAGGATATGCTGTATGAAATTGACTCTACAACTTATATAATTTGCCAAAAAAAAAAAAAAAAGAAAGAAAAGAGGCTATAATTTTCTGGGTGGGACACATAAACTTTTCTATTCAGTTGTGTAAGTTGTCTTGAAAGTTTGGTCCTATATGTCTGAGTATTTCCCTATTCTATTCTCAGGTTCACTTAGCTCTTCCATTTAGTCCATCATAGTATTTTCTATGTCTGAGTATCGTTAACTAATATATCCATCTAGACATGAGAATTACATGCTTTACTTTTGGCTTCTGAATGCAAGTATACTTGGGGGATACATAGAGGAAACAGAAAGGAGCTGTAAAATTAAAATGTAACTTTTTTAACTAGAGCAAGGGAGTAATTACTGGCCTCCTCCAGGAGCACAAGGAAGTAAAGAACAAGGCTTTGTAAAAGAAAATTGTGTCACACCAACTTAATTTCCCTCTCTGACAGAGTGACAGTCTAAGATGATAAGGAAAAGGAAATAGATTTCATCTATATGAACTCTAGAAAGACTTTTGATTTCATCAAACATGACACTGTTATCAACAAATTGGGAAAGTCTGGTCCAGATCATGTTGCAGTTAGATGAAAGCCCCTCTTGACAGAAAGGCTTCCTCTAAAGTGGGAGTTGTGAGTCCTTCTGTGTTATTTAGACATGATTCAGTTCCCCTTGGAATTCTTTTTGGACACCAATATACTTAATAGGTTGCAGTCACCAGACAATATGTCAAAGTGGGAATAAGGGTAAGTGAGCATGTCTTTAAAAGTTGTAGAACCAAACTCAGATAAAGAAAAATTAAATTAAATTAATATATAGCATTAAAAGGTTTAGACACCAGAAGGAAACTAAACTCAGTACAAGAATGATAATCCTGTCATAAATCTAGATTCACAGAATTGTAGAGCTAAATACACTTTTGGTATCAAATTGCCCATGTTCTCCATTTTGCAGAAGATTGCCAGCTCAAGAGAGGAAGTTACATGCTCAAGGCCACACAGCCGGTTAATTGCAGGACTGAGACTAGAATTCCTAGTTTGGTATTCTTTTTTACTACAAACTGTTACTATTGATTTTAAAAAAAAATTCTTTTCAGGCATATTTCACATATCATATAATTCACCCAAGTATACAGTTCAGTATTTTTTTGTAAATTTACCAAGTTGTGCAGTTATCAACTTTCAAGCGATTTTAGAACATTTCCATCACCCCAGTAAGATTTTTATGTAATTAACTGTTAATTCCTGTCACTACTTATGTCCTAGTCCTAGGCAACCACTAATCAACTTTCTATCTCTATAAATTTGCCTTTTCTGGACATTTTATAGAAATGGAATCGTATAATATATGTCTTTGTGTCTGGCTTCTTTCACTTAACATAATGTTTTAAGGTTTATCTATCTTGTAGCATGTATCAGTCATTATTTTATTGCCAAATCGTATTCTTCTATGTGAATATATCATATTTTGCTTATCCACTCACGTTGGTGAACATTGAGGTTGTTTCCACTTTTGAACTATTTTGAATAATGTTTTTAATTACATTGTGTGTCGTTGTATACTTTTTAAGTTCCATAACTTTGTTTCCCAAATTGGGACTAAATTATCCATCAGATGTGCCTTCTCCCCCTACTACAATTTTTTTTTTTTTTTTTTTTTTTGCAGATATGGGTGGTAGAGTTCCCACAGACGGCAATTAAGGTTGCTATTAATGTTCTAATAAGTAGCCATAGGGGATTAAATCATCCACAGGAGAAAAACCTTGTTAATCTAATACTAGTCTTTTATTCTATGATGGCTTATGAGAAACTGTTGGCCAAATGCCTTCCATCTTCACAGAAAATAAATGAGAAGAATTGGATTTAAACCACAAGGGGAAAAAAAAAAACACTTCAGACGGGCACAAGGAGGCACATTTTATATGGCAGTTGATATTATCAAGTTAATTTGCAATATTATAAAAACAAAGTCCATGTAATTTTCTCTGAGAGAAGCTTATATGAATGGGTTTAAATCTGTCTAAAGCCAGATGGCCCCTTGTGATTCCCTAAAAGGAAGACAGTTCTTTTGTGATACTTTTTCTGAGTGGTTAAAGAAGACATTTGGCTTTTGGTGTTCACAGAGGCCATTTCACTGTGCCCATGAAATAAAATCAGTTGCAAAGTTTTACACCAACCATTTGGTGTGGCAGAAGACAGGATATTGCCCCCATGTCCTGGACAGAGCAATGTCACCTGGCTACTATTCTTTTCCTAATAACAGCTAGAATAATCATTAGTCAATTCTAGAGTTGCATAATTTCCACAGTAATTTCACATCTAATTTTTTTTAACTTTACATTTGAGCTCTCAGTAGTTGCTACAATTATTTGTGAGAGAGACTCTGCTGCATAGCAGTTCAAAGCCCTTTCCAAACTGATCCCATCTTATTGATCTCTCTTTAGCTCCCATCACTCCTAGCAATAGAGTCTTATCGCATCGTGCTATTCACCATCTCTTGAATACCTCATATCCTTTAGCTCCTCTGTATTTTTGTTATACTGTGCTTTTATATCCCTTATCTATTTTGAGAACTCTGACTCAACCTCTGGTCAGGCCTACATATTATATCTTCTATAGGTAAATGTTCTCATTTCCTTTGCCTCATTAGAATTCATTGATCCCTTTTTGGGTGCCCATACTGGTTTGGTATCACAGGACAATGTATTTGCTGCATGACCTTGGATAAGTAGCTTAACTTTTCTTGAGTTTTTCTTACCTTATCTGAAATACATTTGTATCTTTCAGAGGAATTCAATGAAACCTAAATACTAAACCATATTATATACAAATATAATAGATTAGTATTAATAGTAAGAATATAAACATAGACTTCAGATTATAACTGTACCAGTTTCCTTGATTCTTGAGCACAACCATCCTGCTTTATTCACCTTTGTAACCTAACCACTGAGTCTAAGTCCTGATACATAATAAATCAGATTGAATCATTAGAAGTAAGCAACGGAGATACTATTGTTATCATTTTGCATTTGAAATTGAGACCCCAAATGCTAAGTGATATAATGACTTAATTATTAAGTCCTAACCACTTTTCCTCAAGTTCACCGACAAAACTTTCAACAGCCTCTGGACTTATAATCTGACTTGTAACTAGTATTAAAGGTAGGATTTCTGAAAGTATTGTCTCAGACTACCTGTTACAGACTGACTTCTGAAGATGCTTCTTAAAAATGTAAAATCAAATCTCAAAAATGTCATGTTGGGGGAGAAAAGCCAGACACATAAAACCAGAAATGAAAGAGAAGACACTGCTGCCAATTTCACAGAAATAAAAAGGATAATAAGTGAGTACTATGAACAACTGTATGCCAACAGATTGCATAAGCTAGATGAAATTGTCAAATTCCTGAAAACACACAACCTATCAAGACTAAATCATGAAGAAGTAAAACATATAAATATACCTATAACTAGCAAAGATATTCAATCAGAAACCAAAAACCTCCCAACAAAGAAAAGCCCAGGACCAGTTGGCTTCACTGGAAAATTCTACCCAACATTGAAAGAAGAACTAACACCAGTTGTTTTCAAATTCTTCCAAATAATTAAAGAACAGGGAATACTTTATGATTCATTCTGTGAGGCCAAAGTCAGATAAAGACACTGAGAGAGAAGAAAAGTACAGACCAATGTGTCATATGAATATGGATGCAGAAGTCATCAACAAAATACTAGCAAACAGAATTCAATAGCACATTAAAATTATTATATACCATGTTCAAGTGGGATTTCTTTTTGGAATGCAAGATGTTCAGTATAAGAAAATCAATTAATGTAACACAGCGTATTCTCAGAATGAAGGGGGAAAATTACCTGATCATCTCAATGGATGCAGAAAATACATTTGACAAAATTTGTTCCTCTTCCATGATAAAAACACAAACAAACTAGAAGGAAAGTATCCCAACATAATAAACACATAAATACCATATATGAAAAGTTCATAACTAACATTATGTTCAGTGATGAAAGAATGAAAACTTTTCCTCTAAGATCAGGAATATGACTAGGATGCCCACTCTCATGCTTCTACTCAACATGGTACTGGAAATCATCACCAAAACAGGCAAGAAAAAGAAATAAGAGGCATATGAATTGGAAAGGAAGAAGTAAAATTATCTCTGTTAAGAAATGATATAATCTTAGTTGCAGAAAACCCTGCGGATTCCCCCCCGCCAACACACACACATACAAAAAACAGCACTAATTAAGGGACTTAACAATCTTACAGGATATAAAGTCAACACACAAAAACCAGTTGCATTTGTACACCAACAACGAACAATCCTGAAAATGAAACTAAGAAAACCATTCCATTACAATGGCATAAAAAAAATACTTAGGAATAGACTTAATGAAGGAAGCTAAAGACTTGTACACTGAAAACTACAAAGCACTGCTAAAACAAGTTAAAGAAGAGACAAATAAATGGAAAGATATTCCATGTTTATGGATTAGAAGACAATATTGAGTCAGTACTCCCCACAGTGATCTACAGATTTAAAGCAATCCTTTTTCAAAGTCCCAATTTTTTTTACAAAAATAGAAGAATCCATCCTAAAATCCATAGATGGATTCAAGAATTCATCCTAAAATCCACCCTGAAATTCAAATTCAAGGAACCCTGAATAGCCAAAACAATCTCGAAAAAGAAAAACGAAGTTGAAAGCTTTGGTGTGTGTTTTTATCATGACATTGCCTCATTTCAAACCTTACTACAAACCTACAGTAATCAAAACAGTGCAGCACTTGTTTCAATAAAGACATATAAGCCAATGGAATATAATAGAAAACCCAGAAATAAACTTTTATGTATATGGTCAAATGATTCTCAACAAGAGTGGTCTTGGCCATTCTTGGTAAATTATATATCCACATGTAAAAGAATGAAGTTGGACTCTTACCTTACACTACACAAAAGTTAATTCAAAATGGATCAAAGATCTAAACATAAGAGCTGAAACTATAAAACTCTTTGCTGAAAACAGAGGAAAAGCTTCATGACATTGGATTTCTCAATGATTTCTTGAATATTACACCAAAAGAAAAAATAGCCAAAGAAAAATAGATAAATTGGACCACATACAAATTTTAAACTTTTGTGCATCAGATGACACTAACAACAGAGTGGAAAGGTAACCTACAGAATGAAAGAAAACTTTTACAAATTATATATATGATAAGGGGTTACTATCTAGAATATTTAAAGAACTCCTGTAACTCAACAGCAATACAAACTACACAAGTAACCAGATTTTAAAATGGATTTAAATTGACATTTTCCCAAAGATCTTCTTTGACCAGTAAATATTAATACATTAAAAGATGTTCAACATCATTAATCATTAGGGAAATGCAAATCAAAACCACAGTGTTATACCACTTTACACCTATTAGGATGGTTATTATTAGAAAAAAAAACAACACCAAAATAGAAAATAACAAACGTTGGCAAGGATATGGAGTAATTGGAACTCTTGTGTTGTGTGTTGCTGGTAGGGATGTAAGCAGTATGATCAATATGGAAAACCTGTACGGTAGTTCCTTAAAAATATAAAAATAGAATTATCATATGATTCAGCAATTCTACTTCTTGGTATATACCCAAAATAATTGAAAGCAAAGACTCAAACAAATATTTGTATATGCATGTTCGTAGCAGCATTATTCACAGTAGCTTAAAAACCCAAATATCCACCAGTGGGATAATGGAAAAACAAAATGGGTATATTCATGCAATACAATATTATTCATCATTAGAAAGGAAGAGGATTCTGACAGATGGTACAACGTGGATGAATCTTGAAGAAATTATACTAATTGAAGTAAGCAAGTCACAAAAGAACAACTACTGTATTATTCCACTTATATAAGGTATACAGAGTAGTCAAATCACAGAGATAGAAAGTAGAGTGATGGTTACCAGAGGTGGGGGAAGGGGAGAATGAGAGTTAAAGGGTATAGTTTCAGTTTTGCCAGCTGAAAAAAGTACTGAAGATAGATAGTGGTGATGGTTGCATAATGCAAATATACTTAATGCTACTGAACTGTATACTTAAAAATGGTTACAATAGTACATTTTATCACAATTTTAAAATGTTTAAAATTTTTACAATGAAAAAGGAAGACACAAAAGAGTCTGTACCGTCTGATTAATTTATTTAAACTGCGAAAATAAATCTATGGTGTTAGATGTCAGGACAGTGGCTATCCTTGGAAGAGGGAAGTAACTGGAAAGAAGTATGAAAAGGCTTCAAGTGTGCTGGTGATGTTCTGTCTCTTGATCTGGATGCTCTAACATGGATGTTCAGTCTGTGAAATTCTTTGAGCTATCTGTTTATGATTTATATTATACTTTTTTCTATATGAATATTATACTTCAAAAAAGATTTTAGCAGTGTCAATCACGGACCCCACAGCAGACCTATGGAATCAGAATCTCTGGGAATGGGAACTCAGGGCCTTGCATTTTAAAAATCTCTTTTCTACGTTTTTCTTAAGGCTATTGGATTTTGAGAATCTTTGCTAAGGGAAGAGGATTAGATAAATATTCTTCCAGTGCCCCAGATTTCTTCAGTTCTATCCTAACAATAAGTATTTGCTGGAAAAGAAATTTTTGATTTCCTTAAGTCATTTACCTTCTTCCTGTTAGGAAAATGCACATATTTTGTAGGTGCTAAGACAGAGGACTAAGAAATCAATGACATAAAAATGCATAGTTTAATATTTTTTCTTTGAAACTATTATCCTAAGCTGTCATACATACTATAATTTATGAATATCGGAAAGAGTGAAAACAGTTTTATTGAGGCTCTGTAAAATATGGCAGGTGCTAGGACCTTATGGAACTCAGGATCTTCAGTAGAATGTGAAACATCACATCATGGGGCGTGGTACAGTGTGAGCAGGTAAAGAAAAGCCAGTTCTTCCACATGTAAACGGCTTGAACTCCATTTCATCTTTTTCATACCATCTCCAAGATTTCAGCAGCTTTCACATTTGCTTGTTAAACTGAAAGCATGTTTCTTGCAAAGGCTCTATTGGAAGGAGCAGATCGAGGTCTTGGAGAAGCTCTTGGAGGCCTCTTTGGAGGAGGTGGGCAGAGAAGAGGAGGAGGAGGAGGAGGAAATATTGGAGGGATAGTTGGAGGAATTGTGAATTTTATCAGTGAGGCTGCAGCAGCTCAGTATACTCCAGAACCACCTCCTCCCACTCAGCAGCATTTCACCAATGTAGAAGCCTCAGAAAGTGAGGAAGTTAGGCGATTTCGGCAGCAATTTGCACAGCTGGCTGGACCAGACATGGAGGTGGGTGCCACTGACCTGATGAATATTCTCAACAAAGTCCTTTCTAAGCACAAGGATCTGAAGACCGATGGTTTTAATCTCGACACCTGCCGGAGCATTGTGGCTGTCATGGACAGTGACACAACTGGGAAGCTGGGCTTTGAAGAATTTAAGTATCTGTGGAACAACATCAAGAAATGGCAGTGTGTTTATAAGCAGTATGACAGGGACCATTCTGGGTCGCTGGGAAGTTCTCAGCTGCGGGGAGCTCTGCAGGCAGCAGGCTTTAAGCTAAATGAACAACTTTACCAAATGATTGTCCGCCGGTATGCTAATGAGGATGGGGATATGGATTTTAACAATTTCATCAGCTGTTTGGTCCGCCTGGATGCCATGTTTCGTGCCTTCAAGTCTCTGGATAGAGATACAGATGGCTTGATTCAAGTGTCTCTCAAAGAATGGCTGCAGTTAACCATGTATTCCTGAAGTGGGCACTGAGAAGTCAAGACCCTCCCTGAAGGACTGTAAGCCTTGCCATGCTGTACACAGTTGCTGATACCCTGTGCAACAGCTGTCATTTCCCGGCGAGCTCTTTCACAACCCTAGATATTTCTGATCATGCGCTGCCTTTTACTGCTGAATTAAAACAGATATTTCATGAAAAATGTTCTGAGTGGTTTGTATATCAGCTTTTTGAGATTTGGATTTATATGGACTTACATATATATGATGGGGAGGGTGTGGGATAGAGTTCTAATGGAGTAGATTTTAAAAGGTGTTGCTTATTTGGTGAATAAATTTTAAGGAGTAGAAACTTTATCGTTGTTGTTATTGTTGTTAAGAATGATTTCAAAAAAAATCCTGTAATAAATCAAGAGAGCCCTCAGGAGATACATTTTTCTTTTTAAAAAGTTTAGGAGAGAAGGTCAAAATCAGTTTTTCTTGTAATTTTATACCTGATCTTTCCATTATGCAAAAAAATGAAGCGCTTTTTAGGAAACACATTTAACTGTAAAGAAACAGGTTCAGATAGTTAAATTAAGCAGTTTTACATAAGGGTAGCATTTTTTTGAATGATGGAGCTACTATCTAAAATTCTAAAGTTCTTTAATTCTGTTTCTTTAGTAAAAAAAACAAAAAGCACATAGCAATTTTATTTTGTTTTGATACATTTGTAAAGAATTAAAGACACTGGGGAATAAGACAGTATACTCATAGTTCAAAAATGGCTCTCACTGCCTTCATGAATCAGAATGTTTGCTCTTACACATACTTCATACAAAACCAGGCATGCCCTGCCAGTGTTAGCCAGCTCTTGTCATGTCTTGTCCTGCCTTAGAACAAGGAAAATTCTTTTGTTCATCTTTGAAAACTACAGGCAGGAAAAAACAGGAAACAAAGGAAAAAAAAAGAAAAGAAAAACATATGAACAGTAATCAGTTCAATGGAATGTAAAGCAATATAGAGAACACATATTGCTGACTATTGCAGTTGTTCTCAGCCCTGGCTGCAATTTGGAATCACTGGGAGAGCTCTTTAGGAATACTAACACTTGAGTCTCACTCCTAATATGTTAAATAAGACTCTTTAGAGGTGGGGCCCAGAGATGAATATTTTTAAAGCTCCTCAGGTGATTCTAATAATTAGCCAAGGTTGACAGCCTTGATTGCTTTAAAGCAGGGCTGCCTCACAGTATTTTTCAAGCCTGTCTCAGCCAAAACTGAGGCCAAGCAGGAGAGTCAATGTTGCCAGCATTCAGAAGAAGGAAGATAGAAATACCACGAAACTGCCACCCAAAAGCTGGAGTAGTTGTGCCTTTCTTGTGTATAGACCTTGGTTTGGCTCTATAATTTTGATAACAGGCTATTACAGCGAAGCAAACAGAATCTTGAATCCCTGTGCCAGTAGACACAGCTAGAGAGGCTGCATTTGTAAGTGCTCTGTTCCTCTGCCTGCTATTTAATTGGTCTCTACGCCATCTTCTCTGATTTTTAATGCATTGTCTCTATCCCAGGCTACTTCGGAGGGTCATCTCGAGATTACAGATAAGTTCTTCCTTCCTCTTTGGACTCATTTAGAAGAAAGTTGCAACTATGGAAATGATGTAACTAGCCTGTTAACATCCCTCAGCTTCCTGTTAGAAATCCCCAGTGAAATCTGGAGAGGTTGGCATTTGGCCTTTGTGTTCACCATCATCACCATCATCTAATATTTATGAAACACCACACACATAAAATTCTGAACTGAGCCAAGCACAGAGATCACATCCACTTTCCTCAGGGGGCTTATAATTTAACCTTGGTCTGGTATGCTACTTAGACCAGGTGTAGTTACATAAGAATGAGGCTGCTGCCAGGAACCACACATTAATATCAATCTCTCTATTTTAGAGTAAGTCCAGGAATATGTTAGGCATGGATTTAGTAAAGTAGCCAAGAAAGGGGATAGCTGCCAAACATCTTTTAAGGTCTCAGAATATTAGATTTATAATTTAACCTTTCCACAGGATGGTTGTAGAAAGAACAAGGTAACCACATTTTTTTTATTATACTTTAAGTTCTGTGGTACATGTGCAGATCATGCAGGATTGTTATATAGGTATACACATGCCGTTGTGGTTTGCTGCCTCCATGCCCCCTTCACCTACGTTAGTTATTTCTCCTAATGTCATTCCCTCCCCAACCTCCCCACTCCCTGCAATTGATCCCCTAGCCCCTGACCCAACAAATCCCCAGTGTGTGATGTTCCCCTCCCTGTGTCGATGTGTTCTCATTGTTCAACACCCACTTATGAGTGAGAACATGCAGTGTTTGGTTTTCTGTTCTTGTGTCAGTTTGCTGAGAATGATGGTTTCCAGATTCATCCACATCCCTGCAAAGGACATGGACTCACCCTTTTTTATGGCTGCATAGTATTCCATGGTGTATATGTGCCACATTTTCTTTATCCAGTCTATCCTTGATGGTCATCTGGGTTGGTTCCAAGTCTTTGCTATTGTAAACAATGCCACAATGAACATACGTGTACATGTATCTTTATAATAGAATGATTTATAATTCATTGGGTATATACCCAGTAATGGGATTGCTGGATCAAATGGTATTTCTATTTCTAGATCCTTGAGAAATCACCACACTGTCTTCCACAATGGTTGCACTAATTTACACTCCCACCAACAGTGTAAAAGCATTCCTATTTCTCCACACCCTCTCTAGCATCTGTTGTCTCCAGATTTTTTAATGATCACCATTCTAACTGGCATGAGATGGTATCTCAATGTAGTTTTGAGTTGCATTTCTCTAATGACCAGAGATGGTGAGTATTTTTTCATATGTTTGCTGGTGACATAAATGTCTTCTTTTGAAAAGTGCTTGTTTGTATCCTTCACCCACTTTTTGATGGGGTTGTTTGTTTTTTTCTTGTAAATTTGTTTTAGTTCTTTGTAGATTCTGGATATTAGCCCTTCATCAGATGGGTAGCTTGCAAAAATTTTTTTCTATTCTGTTGGTTGCCAGTTCACCATAATGATTGTTTCTTTTGCTGTGCAGAAGCTCTTAAGTTTAATTAGATCCCATTTGTCTATTTTGGCTTTTGTTGCCATTGCTTTTGGTGTTTTAGCCATGAAGTCCTTGCCTATGTCTATGTCCTGAATGGTTTTGCCTAGGTTTTCTTCTAGGGTTTTTATGGTGATAGGTCTTATACTTAAATCTTTAATCCGTTTTGAGTTAATTTTTGTATAAGGTGTAAGGAATGGGTCCAGTTTCAGCTTTCTGCACATGATTAGCCAGTTTTCCCAACACCATTTATTAAACAGGGAATCCTTTCCCCATTGCTTGTTTTTGTCAGGTGTGTCAAAAATCAGATGGTTGTAGGTGTGTGGCATTACTTCTGCGATCTTTGTTCTGTTCCATTGGTCTATATCTCTGTTTTGGTACCAGTACCATGCTGTTTTGATTACTGTAGCCTTATAGTATAGTTTAAATTCAGGTAGCATGATGCCTCCAGCTTTGTTCTTTTTGCTCAAGACTGTCTTGTCTATGTGGGTTCTTTTTTGGTTCCATATGAAGTTTTCCAGTTCTGTGAAGAAGGTCAATGGTAGCTTGATGGGGATAGCATTGAATCTATAAATTACTTTGGGTAGTATGGCCATTTTCACGATATTGTTTCTTCCTAACCATGAGCATGGAATGCTTTTCTTTCTGGGTAACTACATTTTTGTTCCTCACTTTATTGTAAATATTTTATAAAAGTCAAAAAAATAATCTCACACTAGGAATGGTATTATTGCCCTTGCTCCTCAAGTTGAGTGATTACTTACTTTTACAATTCTCTTCCAGCATGCTCATGGAGAAACATCTTGAAATTACCTAAGTTTCTCTCCTGTTCTCTTCTGAACTTGTATAAGTAGCCTCAGACATCAGAGTGGATACTACAAATGCAAAAATCTGGGCTTTTCCAAGAACCAATAGCCTAGCAAGTGATTGAATTTCTTAGTTTTCATTTAATATTTGATGTTTTAAAGGCACATTTTCAATTTTAGAAGCAGAATTTAACTTGACACTTTTTAAAAAATTTACCTGTTCTATATGCAAGACTGTTTATAGCCTGAGATTTATATAATATGATTCACATAACTCCATGCCAGTATTTTCAAATTTCTATTATTAAGTTATTTAATCAGTGTAGTAAATTGAAAATCATACTCAGTGATAAAAAGATGTGAAATTGTACATCTACATTTTTAAATTTCAAAATAATCTCATATGATTTTGAAAAGTAACTTTATCTTGATATAATCCACTAAATTTTATAACCTATAAAAAAGAAAAAAGAATCATGTGCTCTGTAACTAAGAACAGCAAACTTCCAAAAACATTCAAAATTTGCATGTGATCTTAAAGTCACTTTTAAAATATTTTTGAGTAGTGGTTCCTGTGTTTTTAAAAGTTGTTTTATCTAGCCACCCAGTCAGAAATCTTATCAGTACTGACTGAGCATGGTGTGTCTCAGGCCTGTAGTCCTAGCACTTTGGGAGGCTGAGGCAGGCAGATCGCTTTGAGCCAGGAGTTCAAGACTAGCCTGGGCAATATGGCAAAACCCTGTCTCTACAACAAAATATGAAAACTTCCCACAACTAGTCAGGCAAGTTGGTGCGCGCCTGTAGTACCTACTACTCGGGAGGCTGAGGTGGAGGATCATTTGAGCCCTGGAGGTCCAGCCTGAGTGACATACATAGGGGAGACCCTGTCTTGAAAAAACAATTTAAAAAAAAAATCTTATCAGTAGTATTACGCAACTACCCATATAGTGGGACTTTAAAAATATTTGTGGAGGCACTTACAAGGTACTGATATTTAATGTGCCTATTGATCTTGATGAACCTTCAGAATATAGTTAAATATTTTTTAAAAGCAATCCTGAAAGTTTGTATTCCTAGAAAATTGGTACAATTATGTATGTGGGTAGAAATATGCTCTTAATCAGAATATTCAGTTAAATAGAATACCTCTTCCCATACTGTTCTGCATAACTGAGAACTTACTGAATTTTAATAGTAATACTCCTTTGGATTTATAGATTATCTTTGAAGATGTGAAGACTTTTGTCTGTTGGTTGCTGCCAAGTAAATTTTGTTTTATGTAAACATTTTAAAATTATTTTGATG